AATAATAATAATAATAATAATAATAATAATAATAATAATAATAATAATAATAATAACAACAACAACAACAACAACAACAACAGTTCCTAGATCCTTGGTTAGGACTCAAGCTGTTGAGCTACCAACCAGCCCCAAAGGCTGTGAATCTCACTAAAGATTAACTAATAATAATAATAATAACAACAACAACAACAACAACAGTTCCTAGATCCTTGGTTAGGACTCAAGCTGTTGAGCTACCAACCAGCCCCAAAGGCTGTGAATCTCACTAAAGATTAACTAATAATAATAATAATAACAACAACAACAACAACAACAGTTCCTAGATCCTTGGTTAGGACTCAAGCTGTTGAGCTACCAACCAGCCCCAAAGGCTGTGAATCTCACTAAAGATTAACTAATAATAATAATAATAACAACAACAACAACAACAGTTCCTAGGTCCTTGGTTAGGACTCGAGCTGTTGAGCTACCAACCAGCCCCAAAGGCTGTGAATCTCACCAAAGATTAATTACATAATAATAATAATAACAACAACAATATATATTTTAAGAAGGTATTTGGTTGATACCTAGGACGCTGGCAGCGACCTGTATCAACCATTAGCACCAGTCAATGGTATTTGTGATGCATTTTTGAATGTTCGGTTGACCGAGTTTCATGTTTAATGAATAAAAGAAATAATAACAATAACAATTGCAATAGTAAATAATACTTCTACCTCATTCTTAGCAAGGATAAGTATAAAATGTATAAAAATTAACCTATAGATACAGTATGTATGCAAGATGGTTTGGAAAAAAAAGTAACCATTTTCTTATTACACAAACGGAAATTTGCTCAGAAGAAGCTTAAATCTGTCTGATCAAGTTGGAAGCCCCAAAGCCATCCATGAAAGAGTGACCATGAATGATAAAACACCAGCTGGTTGATAAACCCTTTTCTGGTTCCAAATTGCGTAAGAGATTAGGGTTATTAAGCATCAACAGGCTATAATGTAGGGTTGACTTGCTCCATAAAACTCACACAGGAATAATTTTAAAAGCCAGCTTCAAAATAAGTAATATTTGTTGTCTGCCGAATGACACAATCGAATTGATTTCAGTGTCCAGAATAAAAAGGAGATAATTCATTAAAAGTGTTTAGGAACTGTTTTATCAGTGGTGTTATCTGTGGGAACAAAAGCACCAGTTTCTTCATCAGCTCTTCTAACAGCTGCTATTCTCTTTTTATTTGACAACAGGAATGGGTAATAACAACCTGCCGTTTTGAATTTCCCACAGTTCCATCAACTTTCTGACATAAGGTGGTAGAATATTAAAATAACACCCTCTTTTTTGGCATGTTACTTCCTATCAGTACTCTGAAGGCACATTATGGCTCAGCAGGTATTCTGGCTCATTTAGGAGAAATGCAAAATGTGGATAATTAGGAAATTATCAAACCAGGGATCTGTGTTAGTTCATTGTCTCAAGCCAGCCAGAGACAAGATACCGATGCTAATTTTATCCTTGGGATGGGGATGGGAATCCGCTGATCAACTACAGTTTTGGAATTTAGGAGTTAGGTGGACTATTCAGTAACCCAGGAGTGTCAAACTCAAGGTCCATGGGTTGAATCAGACCACAGAGTGCTTAAATCTGTCTGCGAAGCTACCCTGGAAACAATGAAGGACCTGCCCACCTGTGCTTCTGCTAGCGAAAACGGAGCTCAGGAGAGCCACATGCGGCCCTCCCAAACTCTGTTTTCAACCGCGACAGCCTTCTGCAGCCCTCTGCCAGTGAAAATGGAACTCAGGGGGCCACGCGGAGGGCTGCAGGAGGCTGTCATGATTGAAAATGGAGCACAGGAGGGCTGCACGCAGCCCCACCGACCTATGTATTTTCTGGCAGAGGGCTGCAGGAGGCTATTGCAGCCGAAAACGGATGTTGAGCTGGCCACATTCACCCTGGTCACACCCACCTGGCTCCCTAAGGTCCAACACAACCCTGTTGCGGCCCTCAATGAAATTGAGTTTGATACTCCTGCAGTAACCATTCAGCATCATCTGAATTTCTTCTTCTTCCTCTTCCTCCCTCTCTTCTCCCCCTCCCTCCTCTTCCTCCCACATCCTTCCTCCTCTTCCCCAAAAGTTATTTGATGAGAATATGTGGCAGTGTGGCACCTGTCTCCCAGTTTTTAAAGAAGCATGCTTTTTCTCAGGATCATGTGGAAGCTGTATAAGACAACTGGGAAATCATTGGAAAAGATGCAGTTGCTTTAATTAGTTGCACTTCTGATTTTATATAAGCTCCTATTTTCCCAAGTATCTTTTCCTAATCATTGTTGAAGTGCCTAATGTTTATGATAGATGATACAGACAGTCAGACAGACAGACACACAAACACACACACACACACACCAAAGGTGGTATTCAGCAGGTTCTAACCAGTTATGGAGAACCGGTAGCAGAAAGTTGGAGTAGTTCAGAGAACCAACCAGTAAATACCACCACTGACTGGCCCCGCCCGCATCTATTCTTTGCCTCCCGAGTCCCAGCTGATAGGGAGGAAATGGGGATTTTGCAGTATCCTTCCCCTGCCACTCCCACCAAGCCATGCCCACCAAGCCATACAACGCCCATCAAGGCACGACCACAGAACCGATAGTACATATGGGTGTGTGTGTGTGTGTGAGAGAGAGAGAGACAGAGAGAGAGAGAGAGACAGAGAGAGACAGAGAGAGACAGAGAGACAGAATGAATGAATGAATGAATGAATGAATGAATGATAGATAGATAGATAGATAGATAGATAGATAGATAGATAGATAGATAGATAGATAGATAGATAGATAGATAGATAGATAGATAGATAGATAGATAGATAGATAGATAGATAGAGTTTCTGGTTGAGTCAGACTACTTTTGAATGAATCTTCCATTTGGCTGAATGTTTCATTTAAAAGCTAGGTAGGTGAAAAATAGTATCCTTCCTGTAATAGGATTTCTTTGTGCAGTGTTATTGTTTTTCATTTAACCTGGACAAAATACAAATAATATCTTCCGTCATCTTCTGAAGTGAAATAGCTCCTTTCCCTGGGGAGGTTTCTGAATTTTTTTTTTTTTTTTTACAAAACCAAAAGATCAGGGCGAGATTTAAAACAATCTACCAAAATATGCCGCGTGGCAGTTTTTCCTCTTTCAAAGAATATCAGATGGTTTTTCATTTCTGTCCTTGGTGTTGTTGCCATTGTTGAATGAGAAATTCTTGAAGTGTTATAAACAAAGTGATTGATAAATGGTTTTTTTTTAAAAAAAAATCACCTCTTCCCTTTTCTGCAGGTACCCCTGAAAGCGACACCGTTTGCGCGAGATGTCCAGAAGGATATTTCTCTAGTGATAGATCATCCAAAGCTGCTTGTCAAATGCACACTAACTGCAGCGCCCTGAGTCTCAAATTGGTCCAGAAGGGGGACTCCACACATGACAATGTGTGCCAGGGAGAAGACAGTAACAGATTGGATCAGTCATGTGGAATCGGTGTGTATATAATCCAAAAAAGGAAAATACAGGTAGTCCTCGAGTTACGACCACAATGGAGCCCAACATTTATGTTGCTAAGTGAAACATTTGCTATACGTGAGTTTGCCCCCCAATTTACGACTTTCCTTGCCACGGTTGTTAAGTGAATCATTGCATTGGTTAAGTTAGTAACATGGTTGTTAAATGATCCTGGCTTTCCCAGGGACTTTGCTTGTCAGAAGGTCGCAAAAGCTGATCGCATGACCCCCGGGACACTGCAACCGTCATAAGTATGAACCAGTTGCTGAGCATCTGAATCTAAATATGGATTGCGTGGCCATGAGGATGCTGCAACGGTTGTAAGTGTGAAAAATAGTCAGAAGTTAACTTTTTTTGGGGTGCCGTTGTAACTTTGAGCCGTCACTAAATGAACTGTTGTAAGCCGAGGACTACCTGTAATGAAATTCCTCACGGGTTTACAACTGACACACAGTTAGAAACGCAGTGAGAATTTATTTAATTTTGATTTTGTAGATTATACCTACCAGTCTAATATGCAGATTGGAAAATTATTGTCCGGTGGAAGGATTCTCATATAGAAAAGATAGAATGGATTTATTCATTATTGCCTGTGTGGACAGAAGCAAAACCAATGGGTTGAATCAGGGGTGAAATGCTACCAGTTTAGGCCTGTTCACCCAAACTGGTAGTAAAAAATACTTAAAAAAGGTAAAAAATATTCCGACGATTGCACAACCAAAAACAGGGTGGGTGGGGTTTTTTTTCCATTTTTGCTTCCAGCAGGCTTCCCTGAGGCCTGCTAGGCCAAAAACAGGGGGAGGGGGTGCTGAGAAAGACAGAAGGAAAGAAAGACAGAGAGAGAGAGACAGAAAGAAAGAAGAGAGAAAGAAAGAGAAAGAAAGAAAAAGAAAGAAAGGGAGGGAGGGAAAAAGGAGAGGAAGGAAGGACTACAACCTGGCACTAGATGAAGCTTCAGAGGATAATCCAGGGCTGGAAGGGACCTGGAGATCATCTAGTCCAACCCTGCTCCAGCAGGACATTGTTAAAGTGAGTTTCTGCCTCTTGATCCCCCAGTTACATGACTACAGAATCACATGACCCCAACAAGCCAGGCGTACAGAACCGGTAGTTAAAAAAAAATAGATTTCACCACTGGATTGAATCAATATGAAAATAGTTTCAGACTAAATATCACGAGGAAATTTCTGACTGTATAATGGGAAGGAATAGAATGTCATATGAACTAGGCAAATACAGGTAGTCCTTGTCTTACAACAGTTCATTTAGTGACCGTTCAAAGCTACAACATCATAGAAAAAAGAGAGTTATGACCATTTTTCACACTTACAACCGTTGCAGCATCCTCATGAGCATGTGATCGAAATTCAGATTTTTGGCAACTGGTTCATATTCATGACGGTTGCAGCGTCCCGGGGTCAAAGTCAATGAAGAAGCCAGATTCGCTTAACAACCATGTTACTAACTCAACAACTGCAGTCATTCACTTGGCATTGTGGCAAGAAATGCCTTAAAATGAGGCAAAGTTCATTTGACAACTGTCTCACTTAGCAAGAGAAATTTGGGACTATCCTTTGATTGATGTTTCAGATCAGAATCTGGAATGTCATTTTCAAAGGTATTCTAGTGGATCCTGCCTTCAATGCGTGATTGACCTAAACAGACCTCCAAAATCCTTCCAAATTTATGATTCTATGAAATAAGTAACTATGAAATTGATACAGATCACAAATGCATTTTTTCAATTCAAAATGGTGTTGGCATTTTCTCCATTGTGTTGGCCTCATTGTCTTTGCCTTTAAAAATTTATATATGTTGTATTTGTGCTGATAAATAAATAAAGGGAGACTAGTATAGATCTATTTCAAGCTATTTAGCTCTCATCAGCTAGCCATACCCTTACTGGGATTCGAACTGTCTGGATGGTCTCTTGTGACGAGCCGAAGGACAGAGAATGGAAGTAGTGAACTTCCTATGTAATACAGCCCAGGTTCGAATCCCAGTAAGGGTATGGCTAGCTGATGAGAGCTAAATAGCTTGAAATAGATCTATACTAGTCTCCCTTTATTTATTTATCAGCACAAATACAACACACACACACACACACACACACACACACACACAC